CACAGAGTTCTCATGCACTCTCTCCCCATTGTCTGTGTATTGTGTCCCTTCTGATTAACACCTTGAATTAGGGCAGTACCTTTGTTGGAATTGATGAATCAGTATTGAACCGTTATTATTACCTAAAGTTTACATCAGGGTTCACTTTTATGTTGTACAGTCCTGTAGCATTTGCCATATGCAAAATGGCATGCCTACCATTATCATATTATGTGAAATAATTTTACTTCCCTAAAAATCCTCTGTGGTCAACCCATTCAACCCTCCTTCCTCCTTCAAGCCCCTGGCATCCAATGATTTTCTGTCTACTATCAGCATTGGTCTTCCTTTTCTAAGGGGTCATGAGGGGAAATCACACAGTGTGAGCCTTTCTAGATTGGCTTTTTTCACTCAGAAACATGCATTTAAATTTCCTCTGTGTTTTCCACAGAATGATCACGCACTATTTTTATCATTGAATAATGTTCCATGATGTGGCTGTATCATGATCATATTCATCCATTTCCCCATTGAAAATCATCTTGGTTATCTCCAAGTTTTTGGCAATTATGAACAAACATAAACATGCATGCACAGATTTTTTTATGCGGACTTAAGTTTATAGCTCATTCAGGTAAACACCAAAGAGTCTAACTGCTGCATGGCATGGTACAAGTAGTTTTGTTAGAACCTGCCGAGCTGTCATTCAAAGTAACTGTGCCACCTACATTCCTATCAGCAATCAATGAGACTTCTTGCTGTGCCATGTGCTGCCTAGCATTTGGTGCTGTCAGTATTTTGGATTTGGGCCATTCCAACGTGTCTGTGGGGTTATCTCACCATTCTTTTAGTTTGCAACTCCCTAACAAACACAGCACGTTGAGCATCTTTTTGTGTGAGTATTTGTCCTCTGTCTATCTCTTTTAGTCAAATATCTACTCAGATGGATATATTTGGCCTATTTGTTTTATTATTGACAAGTTTCAGTGTTCTTCTGCATATTTTGGGTACACGTCCTTTATCAGACTGGGTTTAGCAAATAGTCTCTGCTGCTCCGGTGCTTATCTTTTCATTCTCTTAATACCCTAGCACTTGTGATGCCTGCATTGTCTCATTCAATTTCCCCCACCATTCCGGGAGGTAGGTTCTATTGGTTCATTTTGCTAAGGGAACGAAAGCTAAGAGAGGTCAGTTGAACGGCTACATGGTGGAGCTAAGATCTACTCCCAAGTCTGACCCACTGCTTACTTGGCACTTTTAAAGTGTATCCCTCTCGCCAGAGATCAGCCCAGAAAGAAATGGATTTTGCTTATTTTGTGCTAAAATACCCTTGTATGGGCCCAGAAAAGAGAGACCATCTAGACGCCCTGCAGAGTGCAGCCTCCTCTCTGGTCAAACAGACCTAACTAACATGGCATGGCGGAAGCCCTGTGCACTCACCCTGCCTCCTCAGCCCCTCCCTCCCACTTGGGGTCCCAGGACAGAGTATTCTCTGTGTCTTCTCCAATGTGCTTGCTCTGAGGACCGACCTTTGCCCAGACCCCCGCAGCAGTGCATGTGAGATAACTGAGGCCCGTGGCCGAGCAAGGGTTCAGGTCACAAGGACTGAGAGAGAGGCTTTGTAACTTAGCTCATTTCCATGTTTCTTCCTTCACTTCTGGTGTTCCTTCTCCTGGAAAGTCTTCCTCATTGCCAACGGAGCAAGCCTCATCTACTTTTTTTTTTCTTTTTTCTTCCTTTATTTTTTAAAGAAAATAAAATATAGTGAAAAAATTTAAAACAATACACAATTTCACTAAACAGAATTATAGGCATTCAGTGATAATTGTTATACTGCATATTGTTGTCTTCAGCTAGTTGCTCAGATTACCAAACAAACGTGTAAAACTGCAAGCTTGGTCCAAACGAAAAGGAAAAAAAAAAATTAAGCGTTAACTGCTCCTTTCACTAGACCAGCAGAAATCAGTAGTACAATTATCCAAGCTACCCTGTGTATATACAAATATATCTTTTTCCCTTCCTTCTTTCTTTCTTTTCTCTTTTCTCTTGTCCCAGTTCTTCCTTCTCTTTGATTAACTTCTTTCCCTTTCACAGTATCTACTATATCTTTTAGATTTCATTTACTCTTTCAGGTTCTTACAGGAGGGGGACCGTACAATACTTCATCTACTTTTAATTCTTCATTCACATAACACTACAGGAAGCCCTCTATCTCTCACTTTCTAGACCTTGAAACTTCACTTCTGTATATTTCCCACCTCATCCCCTGTCCCCACCCACTAACTTGACAAACTCCTTGAGCATGAAACTTATGTTGGGTAACACTTTATTTTCTTCAATAAGCCTGGTACATTGTAGGTTCCAGGAAGTGTGTTCTTAATAAATGGGTGAAGAGGAGATACTGGTAAACACCATCACCCTTACTATCTGTAAGGATATTTATGCAGAAGAAATGTTTCTCTTTTGTTTCATCTTTAATTATTTTTGGTCTCATAGTTTAAATCTCATCATATACATAATTATATATATTTAAGTCTTTTTCAGCATTTTAAACCCAAGTTTCTGTTTCCTATGGTATGGACCCTTGGGGCAGGCATAACTCAAGTAAAGGAGATTTTGAGTCGATAAGTCGTTAGTGAGACTGCTGAGTGAAAACATTATATGCATTTTCACTTTTTAAAAGCTGACAGCTTCTGTAACAAGGCTTAAATCAGTTCCTGGGCCTTTTTTGAGTCCCAACCTGCTGAGTCCCTTTCCCCTGGCTAGAATCCTGAGGCTTTGGGGACCGACCTGTGCACAGCCCCCCACAGCAGTGCAGGTGAGATAACTGAGGTCGGTGGGCTGAGCACTGTAGCTTACAGAGCAGGGGTTCAGGTCACATGGACTGAGAGAGAGGCTTTGTAACTTAGGAACCTACTTCTTCTCTCTGAGCCCCAGTTTCTTTGTTGGTGAAAGGGAGAGTATCATAGTACCACATATTCTGGTATTATAAAAGCCATGCAGCTGTTCTGAATAATAAGTGATTGAGATATTTATAGTCTCTGGTACTTAAAATGAACTTAGTAAATCTTCACTTCAGACTCCTTCCCCATCTCACACTTGACTTCCTCACCTACCCAAAGGTACTACTTAGAGTTCTACTCTACTTCTAGTTGCTTCCACTGAAATGCTTCTCTGTGGTGAGTATGCCAAGTGGGATCCAGTATAACTAACTCACTGCTTAGCGTAGTGTCTGCCACATGGTAGATGTACTATAGATATGGGATGATACCCTCTACCAGTCCTGCCCATTTGTCCTAATTGAACTCAACACACCCTACTGACCTCTGCCATCAGTATTTCCCAGGCCCTTCTTGCCTGGATCCCTGCTGGGTTTGACTGATGGCATGTACCACTGAGCTCGCACTGAGAAGGAGAAAAGATGTTTCTCCTTATGTCCCAGTCACAGTCAGCTTTTTAGCAGCAGAAAATCTCCTTATGTCCAGCACCCACTGGAGAAGCATAAGAGGCCCCAGCTCCAGAAGGTGGTCCCCACACCCAAGCTCTGGGAACCCCACTTCCTCCCTCTGTCCCTGCAGCCCTAGGGGAAGCAATGTCTCCTTGTGTCTTCTCCTAAGCTATGTTTTTCTCTCATCTGGCTTCTCAACTCTTCCATCAACCATACCACTTCTCTGTAAAAAAAATTCCCTTGGCTATGTATATTTGTTATGGCTTCTAACATGTAATTTAGACCCCACTCAGAAGGCCTCTATGCTCAAGAGTTAAGAGGACTTCATTCTTCCACATTCCACCATTCGCTGGGTGTTTAGCCAGTCAGTGGTTATGAGCCGGAGTTTCCTTATTTGTAACAAAAACTAACAAATCTATCCTGATACTCTCACTAGATCACTGTCAAGATCCCATAGATGTTCATGAAATACTTACTGAGTACCTGCCGCAAGCTAGGTCCTTTGGAGGTGCAGGGCAGGAAGCAGGCAATAAGAATGATAATGTCCCAGCCTTCAAGAGAGTTTCAGTTGGTAGCAATAAATGATCTTTAGAAACCACAGAGCACCACCTAAGTTGAACAGGATAAATTGGCTTGACTTCCTTCACCCCTGGGAGCCCTTAGGGACACCCATAGCTCTCCAGCCTATTTGCTACACCTGCCATGGAATAAGATGGACTGGCTGGTGGATGCGGTGATTGCACAACATTAACATTGCACGATGAGCTGGGTGTCAATCTCAGCACCTCCACCCCACCAGATCCAGTCAGGATCTTCCATTTGCATGGTTGATTAGTGTGTCAGAGCTCACTCTAATTAATTGTAAAGGATTATCCTGATTTATTCTGTGATTTTTATTTGGTGTTATTTGAAGTAAACATGCTATTGACTAAACATTGTAAGTCTTGTTTATGCCTGGATTGTGTTTGAAGAGGTATCCTCAGTAACACAATTTTTAGTTATTGATAATCTCTTTTATACTAAGTTGGCCTCACTTTAATGATAGTATTGATAACAATATGTGGCTGACAATCTATCTGTAGCAATACTCCAAGAGATGAGAGAAAAGCAATATGTGCAGATGCAGAAAACAGATAAGCTTACTGTTTTTAAGCAAGCAGGAAAATGGAGCATATTAATTCAGATTCAATACTTTCATGTCCTGGGTATATTTATACGGTCTCTCTTGTATTGTTCTGTGAAGCAGATATTTCCAGCTTCATGTTAATAATGAAATCACTGAGAGTTATGGAGGAGGTGGTTCACTCAGTTAAGTAACAAGAAAGTCAGCATGAAAAGGGAAGATGAGGGGAAAGAGAACAAAGTTCTTTCTGGTTCTTTTTGAGGCTGGTAACCTTCCTAAATCTCAGCTTCCTCATCTGTAAATAGGAATCATAACAGAGGGCCCTGCTGAGGGTTAATGGAAGAGTGGCATGATGCCCCGTAGGCAATAGCTTTGCTAAAGGAAGAGATTTCTGGTTTCTCCCCCAGATTGCTCTTATTGACCATCCCTTGCTTTCTGTTCTCTCTGTAGATGACCATTCCCGAGTGAGGCTGCTGGTGCTGGATGGAGACCCACACTCAGACTATATCAACGCCAACTACATTGATGTGAGCATCTTGATGGGGCTGGGTAGTTAAGTTCTGGGGCTGGCTGTGTAGGCTCAAGATCTGTGACTGTCCCCAACTGTTCCCCAGAGGGTAACCCTTGCAGAACATGTTCGGACCAACCTAACTCCCTCCTGATTTGCGTGACCCAAGTTGATCATCTACCTAAGGCTACATCCTCTTGCAGGCAGGCTGCAGGAGCTGCTGTGTGGAATTCCAGAACAATTTCTGGTCTTACTTATTCACCCCATCTGTTTATTTGTATAGATGTCTCTGTGTGTATTCATTCACTTATTTGAAGGTGCAGCTACTAATGCAACCAAAACTTTTAAATGACCACAGCTTGATAGATATTTTGGGAACCATAAAGCTGGCACTCCCATGACTTCTATCCTGAGACCTCAGAAGAGAGATAAACTGTGCACATCAGTAATTCCAGGGCAAGCTAGAAAGTAAGTGTCACTGGTTCAGATAAAATGTTTCAGGGATTCAGAGGTAGGAAAAAAACATTGCTTCTTCCATTCTTCCTTTAGGGAAACAAAATGTGATGTGAGGTGAAGCTTCGAGCACAAGTAGAATCTGAAATCACAGAGGGAGCCTCCAGTTGGACAGAACAGCACAATCCAACATGGAGTGGCTGGGAAGGATGGAATCAGCAGCTCTGTGAGAGGGGCAGAGAATTATGATGAGAACAATGGAAAACAGTTGGTACTAGATTATTGAGGCTCAGATGGCCAAATTTAGGAGATCAGAAAGTTTTTGATCAGGAAAAAAAGGAGGTGATTAGTTGAGACCCAAGTTGTAGGGTGATTTACTTGCTGCCAAGGACAAGAGAGATCAGAGCAAGGAGATTCTGGAATTAAAACAACCAAAAGAAGGCGGCCAGTTTCAGTATCCCAGAGATTACTGAGGAAGGCACTAAACCAGGAGCCAAGGAGGATGCACATAGAAGTCAGAGTTTGCCAAGCTTGAGTGCAGCTACACTCAGATGGAAATCCCAGCATGACTCACTCAAGCCAGGCTTCTCTGGTGAGAGCCTAAGGGTCTTGAAGAATGGCTTGGAGATTGGCATTGGCTTCTCAGACTTCCAGATGTATTTATTGACAAGCTATCGGTGACATACTCTGCAGATCCCTCTTAATCTAGACTGGAGCATCTGATTCATTAATTTAACAAATATTTATTGAGCTTTTGCTAGGTCTTTGTTGCCTCATATCTCCTTCTTGTCATTCTCTGATTCACTTTGCAATGCCCAGTAGGAGGACTTGCGTGCATATCAGCATGTGTGTGGTGTACGGGGAGGGAGGGACCTGACTCCCTCAATGAGTGGCACAGTTAGAAGCTCAGGGGACAACAGGAAGAGAGAAGCAAGCACATTCCCCTCCTCTCTCCCTTCTGTGGGTAGTGGGTTCAGGTGTGCCTGTGCCACAGTTGCAGCTCGAGCTTCCCTCACTCAGGCCCACTGTGGTCCCACCTCAGTTAGCCCTTGGCCGAAAGCTCCAAATCCTGAACCTTAACAACTTGTCTGCCACCCATTGCCCCCCCCCCACCGAAAGATCTGAAGATGGTCTTAGCTTCCTGCTGTTGCTAACCCTGAGGTTGCTCCACTCTTCCATTTGTCATCTTGTCTTCTCCTTTGTCTGTGTGGCCAAGTCCCTATGCTAAATTCCTCTGTCTGAAACAACTGGAGTGTTTTCTATTTCCCTGCTGGACCTTGGCTAACAAAGAACCTCTTGTGTGGCCAAGATCCACTTAGGCTGGATCTTCGCCAGAGATAAAGAGGGACAATCTCTGTCATCATTGTCATCATGGCCTTTCTAGGACATTTCACAAGGTGGTGGTTAATTTTGATCAGCAGGTCTTCAGACAGCCCAATGATATAAGCATTCACCGTCATGTTATCAAACTCTCCCTCTCTCGCATGACTCTGTTATTCATCTCACTGATACCCAGCTTCCTCTCCATGGTGTACTAGAAATACTGACCTTTCAGATCAGGTGCTCTGACCTAAACAGTTCTCAGTCTGGTAAAGGAGTCAGAAAATAGAGCCTCAGGGAGCAGGAGCTGTGTGTGGGGAGTGGCCAGTAAAGGTCACCTAGAGGAATCAACACTGCAGTCTTGCCATATACAAAGAGACAGGAAGAATGGCTTACAGTTTTCTAAAAGTTATTTTAATTTCATTTTATTGAGAAACAAATAGCAATGAGACAGTTTCAAAACTGATTAATAGGACAGTTTCAATAATTAATGCATTGTACATTGTTATCTTCTTAGTGATTATCCATAGTACAAGATGCAGACAGGATATCCTGTCCAAATGCTATTAGTACACCTCTTTCTTCTCATTGAATTAAGTGAAAGTAGCTGTATATTTATCCTAACTATTCTGTATTTACAGATACAAAATGGTCCTTCCCTTGTATCCCCTTTTTTTGTTTAGTCCTGTCCGAGATGGGTATTCCACTGGCATCTAAATACTATAGGTGCATGAATTCAGCAAAAAATCCAACACAGTCCAGCAGTCCACAATAGTAGTGGGTTATCCGCAGAAGCTGTTGACTAGAGCCTTTCACAGCTCAGCATTGTTGATCCTCTCTCATGCACCAACATAACCTTAACTAGTTCCTCAACCTCACCAGAAAAGGGCTATCTCTACCTGCTTCCACAAAACAAGCTGAGGCTCTTAAGGTGAGGTGAAATGTCCAGGGTGATACTGCCAGCATCGGATGGAGAGAGAGCAGGAATTTGAACTAGGAGGGTCCCCAACTATATCCTGCTACACTTAATAATAGTGAATAATGACAATAGCAGTGGCTCCTAATAAGTCATTCCGGAGCCCTATGATGGATGTTTTAAGTGTGTCCACTTATTAGGACTTCCCTTCAACACAGGTCTCAGCACTCCCATTTTCCAAGTGAGGTTGAAAAAGATTCCAGCACTTATGCAAGGCACACAGCAAGGTCAGTGGCAGAACCAGGGTAAATGTCACACCAGAATGACTTCTCACCCAGTGTTTTTTCTCTCTCCCTCTGCCTACTCCCTAACACCACTTTGTACTGGTCAGCACATATTGATCAGCATATGTCCATCCAGGTTGAAGTGGTTCCTTCCTTTTCTCTTTACCTTGTCCATGGCTGGGTTTGGATGCCATGATCCTCATGGGCCACTGCCTGCACAGAATCTTGCATGCCTGAATTGTGGTATCTGTCTGGCATTTATCATCTGACAGTTCAGTGAGTGTCTGACTGTGGTCAGAACCAAGAAATGCTGGTGTTGTAAGGTTAAGAGCACTGCCTAAGGTCATACAGCTGGACAGCCATCCTCTGCCTGGCTAGAGCATCCCACAAACCCCTCCCTCTTCTGGTAAAACCTGGAGTGTCCAGAAAGGTCAAGGAGGCTTTGCCATGTGCTATCTTAAAATGCAGTGCTGGACACAGTGGCGGGGAGGTCTCAGTGTCCCATAGGACCAGGTACCAGCAACAAGACTAAAGTCATGAAATCAGTGCTTGCTCTGTCTGCTGAACCTAGGCCTTTCTGATTACTAGCTTTTAGATTGTGCCTATTCACTTATTTTGAGATCTATAAAATAGAATAGTAGTACCAGCTCACATGTACGTGATAACTAATGTACAGTGTCCATCGGGGTCAAAAAGGAAATGGGCGCAAAGTGTGCAATGAAGGAAAATTTAGTATGCATGTGAGCAAGATTGAATGAAACCAGCAGGGCAGGGTGTTGGCCCTGAGTCTGGCAATGGTACAGAGCTAGCTCTATATAGTTCTAGGTCTGGACAGTGGGCAAGAGGCTCTGTAAGGGGAGGGCTGTCAGACAGGCTATGAAGCCCTTTCATATAGAAACAAGGGGAACCCATCCTGACCCGGTTTGGAAGGACCTAGGACATTGACCTCAACCTCTTGCTGGGCTCTATACTTCTGCTCCCACTTCTGATTGGCTAAATGTACCTCAAAGCAGGAGGCTAGTGGGAGCCCATGGTGCTGTTCCTACAGTCAGCCTTGCACAGCACAGCACAGAGTAGGAAGAGAAGGGGGGAAAAATAAAGACACAGCCTCCCCAGTGCCTGCTTGCTCAGTTATTGCCATGGGTCAGAAAGTGAAGGAATCACATTAACTGTGAGTATGGTGTATGCTACAACAAAGTTAAATTCTTGGGGTCTCCATGGAGACACCACACACACACACACACACACACACACACACACACACACACACCCCTTCTCATTCTCTTTCCTGGTGCTCACTTCTTCCTCTTGGTCTGCACCTCAGCCAGTATCCCTCCTGGTTCTCCGAACAGCTAACTGCTCATGCTAGAATCATTTTTCCTCAAGTAGATCTTGGTGATTCATTAAAATGACTCCATGTAGATAATGAGCTGTATGGGGCCAGTCCCGTCTGGGGCTCCGTAGGCTGTGGCCTGAGCTATCCCACTGCTGGGTTTGTTTGCACACCCGAAAATGTATTGGCCACTTGAATCTGTTATAAATTGCCAGCCTAGAAATAAATATGGTATCTGGGTCCACAGTAAGTAACAGATGCAGGAGTGCAGAGTGAGATGAATGCATTTTGGATGCAAACCTCTCTCCCATTGCTCACAGACAGATGGAGGCAGGCCCAGTGCTGGTTTCAGTTGATCTGCATGCTGTGTAGGTGGGACTTAAATGAAATCAAAGTTCCTTTAAGGTTAGGAAGTTTTCTGTACTAGCTTTTGGCAAATCCCCTGAGAAGCCCAATTGAGCAGCACATTTCCTTTTATCTCCTCTGCTAAGGAGTCTCGTGGTTTGAATGTTTCTTCTTTGGGGACTGTGTGGGTTTTTTGGAGGCCAGGGAGAGTCTCTTTACTCAATGCAGTATGGGGACAGGCACACAGTATGCATGCATTCACTATGTTTTTGTCATAGCCAATGGGCCAGGCCAACTTCTTGGTACTGGGGACACAGCTATGAGCAAGCTGGAAACAATTCTGCTCTGGCGGAGCTCCCATTCAGCTGGGGAAGACAGACGACAAGCATGTAAATAAAGAATAGTGTGCTGTCTGGTGGTGAGTGCTCTCAAGAAAAGTGAGCTGGTGGACGTGGAAAGCTGACAGCATGATCACCGAAGGGCTGTTGGAAGCAGTGACTGACAATGGAACAGAAGGCCGGAGGAAGCGAGCAAGCAAACCACTCCATTATCCGGGGACATGCATGGCAGGCATGGGGAATGACCAGTGAAGAACGCCGCTGGACAGAATCAAGACTGCTGATCCTCAAGAGCAATGAGCAAGTGAGAAAGGAGGACAGTGGTAGGAAGACTAATTGCACTGCTGATGGATGAAATGGGAATTACAAGCGATTGAGGGGCCCAAGAAGGGCTTAGTTAAGAAGCTGATTAGGCCACCACCTCCTTAGAGAACACTCTTCTGGCCTCAGCACCTAAGTCAGTCCCCATGTGTGCTCCACAGAACTAACATCTTCCCCTTGGAAGATCCTCTCCCAGTTTGTTGATGTCTGCAAGTTGCCCCAAACAAGAGTCATCCGATGCGCTTTTGTATTTCTAGTTAATGCATGTAATAGTAGGTGCTTCATTAATACCTGTTGATTCAATGTTAAAATGATTGAGTAAATATGTGAAAAACACAAAATTGTGAACCTAACCCATTTGACCCCACACTAAAATATGAATGTTTGGCTCAGAATTTCATCCTGCTGACTTTTAGGCATGTATTAACCTTTCAAACCAATTTCTCCAGGGTCTTTGTGTGTTTTCACTCATGCTCTAAGGAATTATCCCAACCTCACCTCAAAAACATGTATATATGTGTATTTCTCCAACTCATCTTTGATAAAAACTGTACCCCACTCTGGGTGGCATGGCCCATGACCCGAGTGCAGAAAAGTACAAAAAAAAAAAAAAAAAAGGCTCATTACAGTAGATACTATAGTGTTTGTTTGGCATATATGCTGCCCTACGAAGGAGTTACCTCTGTATCACAAAGGAGCTTACGGTGAAGAGCAGCATAGCAAGGGTGGAATACAAGATACCTAGGAGTGTGGGAGGGGACGCAGAAGGACAAGTAGAAGCGAGGCTAGAGAGGAGGTTACAGATGTTTAGCTCCAAGTCCAGGTATGCGGGCTTCACCATGAAGCAATGGGGAACCAATACAGGAAATAACATTTAGATGTGCAATGGGAAGTGCACTGGGGCAAGAACCAGATGGTCTGTATGAGCTAGACTGGGGGGCATAAGGCCAGTAGGAGGTTGATTCTGTGGCCAGGGAGGCCACGCTGAGAATGCCTGATAGTATGGGTGGTAGACGTGAGAAACCATATTGTGCTGGGATCTAGGATTTTTCTCTTCCCAGACCTACTACAGAAAACCCCTGAGTCTAATTCTTTTGTTCAACCTGCACAGCCCTGTCCATCTTGATTTAGAGGAACAGATGAGTGTTTTTACTCCTCATGCCTCAAAGAAGAACTTAGTTATTACACTAGTAAAAGGAAGGGCTTGCCATTCCAGCGTCCCCTACAAGTCTAATGGGCACTTTTAGTCATGCCAGCCTCACACTGAATGTTCTCCAATAAATAACAAGTACAATAGCAAAGACAGATCTGTTAAATCATGGACTAGTAATAAATAAATAAATAAATAAATAAATAAATAAATAAATAAATAAATAAATAAATAAATAAAATAAATCATGGACTAGTGTCTGGTCTATAGTAGCAGTCATAGGTCAACTGTCATTTCATCTGAATGACAATACTATGATTTAAATATTCTTAACCCCAATTTATAGGGGGAAAAGCCTGAAGCACACAAAGGCTAAGTAACTTATCCTAACTGTACAGCCTAGGAGGAGCAGAGCCAGTATTCATACCCAGGCAACTGAGTTGGCTCACAGTAAAACTCTACCATGCTATCCTGCCTGGCTGCTTTGTTACAGCTTGCTTATTTGGCTTTTGCTTTATGTATCACGCTGTGCTAGGTTCTGTGGGAATTTTTTTTTTAACTTAGGAGGCAGTGTTTGTCAACTAAGAGGCCTTACTAAGCAGATGAGACCATTCAGGCAAATAATTTCGGTGGAGTTACTGATGGCTGTGATGTTAATCTCATAGTTTGGGTCATGACATTGGCCTTGAGTTGGTGCTGACGGTCAATTCCAGAGTATGACTAGCAATTGGAAAGTACACAGTAAATATTTATTGAACAGGTGCAAAATTAAGATGGAGAAATGTATAAAGGATTAATAAACTAGTCTTTGAATTAGAAACATATCTAGATCTTTAGAGATCCACCTCTATTGCACCAAAAGACACCAATTCTGGCGTATCTCCTAAAGAAGGAGGACATGTGACAGCTCATCTACCGTGCTATGGTTTGTGTCTAGATGTCCCCCCAAAGCCTCAGTCATGGGGAGCAGGCTTTTCAGAGGTGGCTGAATCTAGAGTTTGTGATTGATTCATGGTCCAATGTTGGTGGGTAACCTGCATATAATACAAGGGACAGAAAGAGGATTTTCTCCCTCACTCTCTCTTATTGCTTTTGCTGTCTTCTACCACTGTGAACTGTTGCCCTTCTGCCATGTGCCACCCTGCCTTGGTGTCAGCTGATTATGAACTAAAACCACCGCAAACTGTGAGCTAAATAAACGTTTTTCCCTCCAACTCAGGTGTCAGTGTTTTGTCTCAGCAATGAGAAAAGTAACTAAGATACAACCACATAGGAGAGAAAAGTTACTTAGCAATGTTGAAGACCAAAGCTCCAAGTTCTACTCCATAGGAAACACTCCCTTTCTGTAACAAGCAAGGGAACTTAACATGTATGCCACATCCATGTAGTAAAACAGAGTCACTCTCAACCTCTTTCCTGATGATTAGGATTATGGAGCACCAGGGAAAGCCTACACCAGAGTCCAGAAAGCGCATGAGAGCACTCTGAAACATACAGGAAAATCAGCAGCTGCTCTTTGAATCTGCAGTCAGTTTATGGGTCTCCAGCTTCACACTTCCACAAGGTCCTTTCTACACTCAGAACTTTAATTACAAGCCTGAGCATGTTGGCAGGGAGAAGCAATGTGGCATCTTTCCCAATTTTCATTTTCTAATTGTTACAAATGCAAAGAGTCAACAATGGAATTGTTTTCTTCTGTTTTTTCCTCTAGGTTCCCCACAGGATCTTGTACACTGTTGTGCATAGAATCATGATTCAGGAAAAACATTTTGGTGGTTGATGTGCTCCATAAGCTTGAAAACTCTTCTTGCCCCTGTTTTTGGGTGCATAGACTAAAATGATGCCTACCTAGATTCTGCTTGAGTACCTCTGGCTCCAGGAAAACTGTGCAGACACCTCACAGGGAACTATAATAGCAACTAACATTTAGTGACTTGCTAAGTGCTTTATATGCATCATTGTACTTGATCTTTGTCATTTCTCTTGGAATAGCTATGACAATTCCGTTTGGCCTATGAGCAAAACAACCTGGGGGGAAAATATTTACTAATCTTGTATTGTTGACAAGCTTTGATTGGAGATGCTCACTGTGCTTTCCTCCTGTTATCCAGGGGTACCATCGACCACGACACTACATTGCAACCCAAGGTAAGTGCTCTACCAATCTGCTATTTCCAAGAGACCTCAAGGGCTCCTGGGAAGAAGGACTTCTGGGAAATTATGCAAAGCTTGTTGTCACCTTCACTTCCTGTCATCCAACACCCCCTTTCCACTAATGGACCAAGGCCTTTCTCTAGAGGAGGGGAATTAGCTTCCACTGACAAAGAAACCAGAGAAAGACAGGGTTGGAAAGGCTCCAGAGCTTTCTGAGAAGGAAAATGTTGACAAGTTCAGCTGTAGGAATCATTACTAGGAAATGGTCAGGAGGGAGAGAACCAAGTAGAATATATCAAAAGTGCCATTGTTCAGCAGGTTCTACTAGACAGAGCTGGATCTGAGAGTGCCTTGCTTCCTGGGATAGCCAGCTGCCCTAGGAAGCAACACAGCAATAAGTTATCAGAAGGCTTAAAGTTGGCTACACTTTTCAG